CGCTACCACCACCAAACTAATACTGGTTACTGGGGAAGAGCTGTTTGGACGCGTCTTTCCCCCCAAAATACTTCCCAAAACCTTGCACCCCACTTCCTGGACAAGGTTTGGTAAAAAAAGCCTCACCAATTTGCCTAGGTGACTACAGACCCAGACCCTTGGATCTTAAGAACAATGAACAATCCTCCCAACACTTGCACCCCCCCTTTCCTGGGAAATGTTGGATAAAAAGCCTCACCAATTTGCATAGGTGACCACAGACCCAAACCCTTGGATCTGAGAACAATGAAAAAGCATTCAGTTTTTACAAGAAGACTTTTAATAAAAAATAGAAGTAAATAGAAATAAAGAAATCCCCCCTGTAAAATCAGGATGGTAGATATCTTACAGGGTAATTAGATTCAAAAACATAGAGAACCCCTCTAGGCAAACCCTTAAGTTACAAAAAAGACACACAGACAGAAATAGTTATTCTATTCAGCACAATGCTTTTCTCAGCCATTTAAAGGAATCATAATCTAACACGTACCTAGCTAGATTACTTACTAAAAGTTCTAAGACTCCATTCCTGTTCTGTCCCTGGCAAGAGCAGCGTACGGACAGACACAGACCCTTTGTTTGTCTCCCTCCTCCCAGCTTTTGAAAGTATCTTGTCTCCTCATTGGTCATTTTGGTCAGGTGCCAGCGAGGTTACCTTTAGCTTCTTAACCCTTTACAGGTGAGAGGAGCTTTCCCCTGGCCAGGAGGGATTTCAAAGGGGTTTACCCTTCCCTTTATATTTATGACACAGGCAGTCTTTGGAGCCGAGACTGGAACACAGGGCTCCCAAGGGCTGGAATAATTCCCTAACCACTACACCATCCATCTGCTCTTCCCCCTGCATTCCTTCCAGCTTCCTACTAGTCCCCACAACTCCTCCCTTCAATGTAGCCCCTCACTAATTAATTTTTGTCTTTCTATTTAGCCAGTCTCTGATAACACATCCTCTCAGCTACAGTAACGTTCAGAAAGCCTGTGCCAAATCTGTATGGATAGATGTACTATTGTCTGCAAGTACTAGAGCTCATACCCCTCCAGGACCTGGGATAGAACCCAGGAGTCCTGACTCCCAACATTCCTATAATGTCTAGCAAATAGTTGTGTAACCCATTGGCAAAATGTGTCTCCTCCCTTTCTAGTGGTTTACATCTCTTAACCTTCAGACCTGTGCATGTGTGAGAAGGGACCGAAAGGGGGAACATCTCTGTGTTGTTTGTCATATTTCCTCACTGTGTGAATCAAATTGCCAGAGTGGCATATTTGGCTCAGATACAAAGTAGGTTTCATAGTTAAAATGTTTCCACCGGCTTTTATTTGTGCTTTCCTGGGTCCACCCCCCCCCCCCCACCCTCACTGTGACTGGGGTTCTCGAAAGAGCCTAAAGGAGTTAGGCATCCAGATTCAATTTACTTTTCATGGTGGTTAAGTGCCTAATTCCTTGAGGCTGATTTGAAAATCCTGGTTGAAATGTCTAATTTGCAAACTCTGGACCAAGTAGACAATATTTCACAGAAATCTTACTGTCCAATTACTATGCTCACCACTTTGAGAGCCCAGCCCATCATACTTGACCAACGTGGACAACCCTTACTGGGGCATATTGTCTCACGGAAGGGCATGGGACTGCTCACATAAGAAAGGATTATTCATCTGCTTTGGGATAGTAGGATCAGGCCCTTGCTAGGTACAGCAGGACCTCTCAGTCATGCAACTCAATCATCCCGCAGGGAGGAGAGAACTCCTTTGAGCTAAGCAGGCTGATTGCATCAGGACTGAGTTTTGTGCTGTCTGTGTTGCAAACAGCAGGAACTCCCCAGAGTCAGCTGATGGGAAAACTCCCCTCAGAAGTGGAGTCAGGGAAGACACAACCTTCTCCTGCAAAGGATACAAATATGAAACTGAAGGTAGGACAAGAAGGAATTGGTTCTAGTTGCATCAAGGCAGATTTAGGTTACATATTAGGAAAAGCCTTCTAACTCTAAGGGTAGTTAAGCAATGGAACAGGTTACCAAGAGGTTGTGGAATCCTCATTTTCAGAGGTTTTTAAGAACAGGTTAGGGATGATCTAGGTTTACTTTGTCCTGCTTCAGCATCGGGGACTGGACTAGATGACCGCTTCAGGTCCCTTCCAGCCCTACATTTCTATGAGGAGGCAACCACACCCCATCAACAGAGGTAAGAGAACATGGTCCAAGTGAGATCTCGGCACCTGCTCATTCCATCAGGGGGACCCAGATCTCTTTCGTGAGAGAACCGAATTTCTGGGGAGAAATGAGAGAGAAGAACCTGAATCCTGGTCACCAAATCCTGAGAGATCCAAGCTAGACTGGAGGCTGAATATCCTGTGGTTGAAGGTGAGTGTTATCCCTCATCCTGCTGCTGCCACACACTAAGATAGAGCCTGCCATGCAGTGCTGTCAAAGGACTGTGCAATCAGTGGTGATTCAGTCTCGCCTTCCCACAGAGATGCCCGTCAGTGTTAATATTGCCGTGTAACCGATGGGGGGACTGAGGCAGAGAGAGGGGGAATATCTTCCTGTTGCTCACCATCATTGGCAGAAATTGGAACAAAATTACAGAATCTAGAGACAAGAAAGGAAAACTCCATTCCCTCCTACCTATCTCTCTGCCAGGAATGGCCCCAATACTACATTTAGTAGTGTCTGCTCCACTTTACTTTTAAATAACCCAATCAATGAGGAGAATAGGGATTTCCAGACTGGACCAGATCCCAGGTCCATTTATCCCAGTCTCCTGTTTCTGACAGTGGCAGCTCCAGAGGCTGCAGAGGAATGTGTAATAATGTTGCAGTAACACTTGTGGAATGATCTGCCCCCAAAATCAGATCTCATCCTGATCTCTAATAGTTAGAGATGGGCTTAAACCCTTAACTCCGAGGTGTAAGATCCCTTCCAGAACTCTTGTTAAACTCCAGATAGAATCATAGAAATATAGGGCTGCAAGGGACCTTGAGAGGTCATATAGTCCATCCGCCAGTGCTGAGTCAGGACCAACTATACCGAGACCATCCCTGGGAGGTGTTTGTCCAACCTGTTCTAAAAACTTCCAGTGACGGGGATTCCACAGCTCACCTTGGTAACTTGTTCCAATGTTGAACTATCCTTATAAATAGGTTTCCCCCCCAATATCTAACCTAAATTTCTCTTGCTGCAGAGTAAGATCTGACTTCTTATCCTACCTTCAGTGGATGGGGAGGACGATTGATTACCATCCTCTTTATAACAGCCCTTTACATAAATGAAGACGATCAGATCCCCTGTCAGTCTTTTTTTAATTTTTTTTCCATATAAAAGTAAAGTTCCTTTTTGAATCTTGTTATGTTCTTGGCCCAAACAACTTCCTGTGGCAATGAGTTCCACTGTCTAATTACTGGCTTCCAAGCAAGGCAGTTTCACAGCCTGATACTTCTCACTGTCAGGATATATTGCCTAATATTCACCCTAAATTTTCCCTTATTTATTACCTCCCTTTACTTTGAGATTTGCTTTGTTAATCATTTATCAGCTAATTCCTGTTTACATTTTCCAATATTTTTAGGCTGTTTTCTCTCTCCCTGCTTACTTGCTATTAGAACTGGTTGAAAAATGGAAAATCAGTTTCATGAAAAATGTTGATATTTGAAAGTTATTTCCATTTATCAGGAAGAAGTTTACATTTTTTCAAACTTTTGATGATTTAAAAAAAAAATGAATACATTACATTTAAACTTTTTGGTTTTTTTTTCCTCTTTCTTTTTCCTGCTTACCACTTGGTGCAATAAAATGAATAGTTTTCAGAGTAGCAGCCATGTTAGTCTTTATTTACAAAAAGAAAAGGAGTACTTGTGGCACCTTAGACTAACAAATTTATTTGAGCATAAGCTTTCCTCAGATAAATTTGTTGGTCTCTAAGGTGCCACAAGTACTCCTTTTCTTTTTTAAAATGAATACTGATATTTTCCCCCATCTTCCCCTGCTTTTATTCTTTTTTTTTCTTTTTGCCATGCAATATATTTAAAAAGAAATCCTCAATTTTTAAAAAATTACCAAATGGCAAAGTATCAGACTTTCATTTTTCCTTTTAACTCTCAGTAACTTTTCCAAAGTTGTGGAAGTGCAGAGTGGGAAATGGAGATAGAAAGGAATTGTGAACAAAAAATAAAATACCTCAGACATGATGGATGGCATATTTTCTTAATCATGTGAGTTTATATCTCTTGTAAATGTACAGCTTTGCTAGTGTAGATGACTATGGGGATTTTGATCATTCACTTTTCAGAATGTCACTAAGCAGTTTGAATCAATAATATCCCTTGGTAGAGAAATCCAAAAGTTAATATGTGATGATCACAAAGCAGCATAAAAACTGATCTGCATGGTACAACATAAATGAAATCAAACAATGACCACCTAAAAAGGCTTAGGAGGTGAAGACTTGGACTGGCTCAACTACATTCATGGAGTGTTGGGTTCTGTCGGGGACAATGGAAGCTTCTGAAGTCCAAACCAAGCTGATTCACAGCCAGCAAAATTGTGGGGTGTTTTACCAGCCAAAACGAGGAGGTCTGAATTCAGGGAATCCAGTGCCTACACCTTCATTTGCCAGACGCCTCCTGGTGAGCTGGTTTCCTCACTGCACACCACTAGTGTCAGCTTTTTGGAGCAGAATCAAGGGAGCATGGCTTAGTCTCTTGTTAGTTAGATCAATTCGGGTCTTTACACAAACCTGAGCTTGCCTTAGCAACATGTTTGTGTGTCAATTTTTCTCACTCACTCTCAGATGTCATTAGCCTCTATTGTCTCACTCCCAGCCCATCAGCCTGTATGCTCAGCTCAGTATTTGGGCGAGTGACCTGAAGGAGAGGGAGCATTTGAACATTAATGTATTTAAATTGACAATGTGATACTGACATTTAACAAATGCCATTCTCGTTCTAGTGTAGCGTTTGGTTCCTTTCCCCCATGGCAGACAAGGAACAGGGAAATCAAACCTCCCTCACAGAATTCATCCTCCTGGGATTTGGGAATATCCCCAAACTGCAGATCCTTCTCTTTCTGCTGATCCTTGTGATTTACATTGTGACCATGGCTGGGAACATCCTCATTGTTGTGCTAGTTGTGACTGATCGGCACCTTCACACCCCTATGTACTTCTTCCTGGGGAACTTGTCCTGCCTGGAGACCTGCTACACCTCCGCCCTCCTGCCCAGGATGCTGGCCAGTCTCCTGACTGGGGACAGAACCATTTCTGTTGGTGGCTGCATCACACAATGTTACTTTGTTGGCTTCTTTGCAGCCACCGAGTGTTATCTCCTAGCAGTGATGTCTTATGATCGGTACCTAGCGATATGCAAACCGCTGCATTATGCAACTCTTATGAATGGCAGTTTCTGCCTCCAGCTAGCAGCTGGATCTTGGATAAATGGATTTCTAGCTATTATCATAATAGTTTCTCTTATGTTACAATTAACTTTCTGTGGTCCCAATGAAATCAATCATTTCTTCTGTGAATCTACACAAATAATAAATCTCTGCTGCAATGACATCTACCAGGTGGAGCTTGTAATCACCACTATGGCTGCTTTATTTACCCTGCCCCCATTTGCTTTAACTGGGACATCCTATGTTTGTATCATCTCCACCATCCTGCAGATCCCTTCCACCACTGGGAGGCGAAAGGCCTTTTCTACCTGCTCCTCTCACCTCATCATGGTGACAATTTTCTATGGAACTCTGATCATTGTGTATCTGCTACCAAAAAGCAACACACTCAGAGACCTCAACGAAGTGTTCTCTGTCTTCTACGCAGTTCTGACTCCTATGGCCAATCCCTTCATATACAGCCTGAGAAACAAAGAGGTGAAAGAGGCTTTGAGAAAAATTGTCAGTAAATGTGTAGATTTTATAAGAATTCAGAAATGCTACTGTATTTTTTGAAAGACAAAATAATGATGAGGGCAGCTGATTTACACTTTAATGCTCAGATATTGTGTAGCCCTTACTTCATTCTCGGTCTTTGGTAGGGTGAACTTGTAATGCTTGAGGATGTGCAAAGATTTGAAAGAGCCAGGATCTTTGTGTTCAAATAAAATTGAACTTTATTTTACTTGTTGAATGGGGGTAGATAATATTTTTTTGGTGAATTCCATAGACTAAAACAAAGTAAGAATGTAAAATAATGACTTAAGGCTGGATCCACAAAGGGACTTAGGCATTGCAAAGCCTAACTTCTAGTGTCTTGCTAGCCAATGAAATCCACACCCAGGCTTGTGGAATTAGGGCACATGTCTACATTGAAATAAAAAGGTCCACGGCAAGGCTGTTGCTGGCCCAGATCAGCTGACTTGCGCTCGTGGGCCTTGGGCCACAGGGCTAAAAATGGCAGTGTAAACATTTGGGCTTGGGCTGGAGCCCGGGCTCTGAACCCTGTGATGTGGGTGGGTCTCAGAGCCCAGTCTGCAGTCAAATCCCAGACATCTACACAGCTATATTTAGCTCCTCAACCCAAGCCCTGTGAGCTCAAGTCAAATATCCCAGGCTCTGAGACTTGGGGCCATGGGATTTTTATTGCAGTGTAGATGAACTAATACAGTTTAAGGCCAGAAAGAATGGCCAGATCTTGTAGTCCAAGTCCCTGTACAGCACAGGCCACCGACACTCCCTTACCCCAGCACCCGCACACTAAACCCAACAACCAAAAGGAGACCAAAGTATCACAGCCCTCAGGAGATGAGACTATGATGTGCCACAGGCAGAGAACAGGAGGGACCAAGGGGCACCAGTTCCTGAAGCCCCCACAATGCCAGGGAGGAGATTAAGTGAGACACACCGAGATAATCCTGGCAAGTAACCCGCACCCCCCATGCTGCAAAAGAAAGTGACTCCCCCACAAGGTCACTGCCAGTCTCACCAGGGGGAAATTCTTCCCAATCCCACATGTGGTGATCACTTAGACCCTGGTCATGTGATCAAGAATCAGCCAGCTCAGCACCTGAGAGAGAGAGAATGCTTGGTGCCCCCTCAGAACCCTGGACATCTCTGCCAATTTCCCATCTCCAGCCATGGCCATCCCTCATGCTTCAGAGGAAGAAGACAAAAAAATACATCAGGGTACAAAAAAAAAATCCCTTCCTCACCCCTGCAGGTGGCCAGCTGAAATTCTGAAACATGAACTTTAAGCCCTGGTCTACACTAGGACTTTAGGTCGAATTTAGCAGCGTTAAATCGATGTAAACCTGCACCCGTCCACACAATGAAGACCTTTATTTCGACTTAAAGGGCTCTTAAAATCGATTTCCTTACTCCACCCCTGACAAGTGGATTAGCGCTTAAATCGACGTTGCCGGCTCGAATTTGGGGTACTGTGGACACAATTCGATGGTATTGGCCTCCGGGAGCTATCCCAGAGTGCTCCATTGTGACCGCTCTGGACAGCGCTCTCAACTCAGATGCACTGGCCAGGTAGACAGGAAAAGAACCGCAAACTTTTGAATCTCATTTCCTGTTTGGCCAGCGTGGCAAGCTGCAGGTGACCATGCAGAGCTCATCAGCACAGGTGACCATGATGGAGTCCCAGAATCGCAAAAGAGCTCCAGCATGGACCGAACGGGAGGTACGGGATCTGATCGCTGTTTGGGGAGAGGAATCCGTGCTATCAGAACTCCGTTCCAGTTTTCGAAATGCCAAAACCTTTCTGAAAATCTCCCAGGGCATGAAGGACAGAGGCCATAACAGGGACCCGAAGCAGTGCCGCGTGAAACTGAAGGAGCTGAGGCAAGCCTACCAGAAAACCAGAGAGGCGAACAGCCGCTCTGGGTCAGAGCCCCAAACATGCCGCTTCTATGATGAGCTGCATGCCATTTTAGGGGGTTCAGCCACCACTACCCCAGCCGTGTTGTTTGACTCCTTCAACGGAGATGGAGGCAATACGGAAGTAGGTTTTGGGGACGAAGAAGATGATGATGAGGAGGTTGTAGATAGCTCACAGCAAGCAAGCGGAGAAACCGGTTTTCCCGACAGCCAGGAACTGTTTCTCACCCTAGACCTGGAGCCAGTACCCCCGAACCCACCCAAGGCTGCCTCCTGGACTCAGCAGGCGGAGAAGGGACCTCTGGTGAGTGTACCTTTTAAAATGCTATACATGGTTTAAAAGCAAGCATGTGAAAGGATTACTTTGCCCTGGCATTTGCGGTTCTGCCTTTGCAAAAGGTTTCTGGGGAGGGCAGCCTTATTTCGTCCTTCATGGTAGGACACTTTACCACTCCAGGCCAGTAACACGTACTGGGGAATCACTGTAGAACAAAGCATTGCAGTGTATGTTTGCTGGCATTCAACCAAAATCCGTTCACGCAGTGGGAGGAGGCAAAATGCGACCTTGTAACGAAAGCACATGTGCTATGTATGTAATGTTAACAGCAAGGTTTACCCTGAAAGAGTGTAGCGACTGTTTTATAAAATGTGTCTTTTTAAATACCGCTGTCCCTTTTTTTTTTCTCCACCAGCTGCATGTGTTTCAATGATCACAGGATCTTCTCCTTCCCAGAGGCTAGTGAAGCTTAGAAAGAAAAAAAAACGCACTCGCGATGAAATGTTCTCCGAGCTCATGCTGTCCTCCCACACTGACAGAGCACAGACGAATGCGTGGAGGCAAATAATGTCAGAGTGCAGGAAAGCACAAAATGACCGGGAGGAGAGGTGGAGGGCTGAAGAGAGTAAGTGGCTGAAGAGAGTAAGTGGCGGGCTGAAGACAGGGCTGAAGCTCAAAGGTGGCGGCAGCGTGATGAGAGGAGGCAGGATTCAATGCTGAGGCTGCTGCAGGACCAAACCAGTATGCTCCAGTGTATGGTTGAGCTGCAGCAAAGGCAGCTGGAGCACAGACTGCCACTGCAGCCCCTCTGTAACCAACCGCCCTCCTCCCCAAGTTCCATAGCCTCCACACCCAGACGCCCAAGAACGCGGTGGAGGGGCCTCCGGCCAACCAGCCACTCCACCACAGAGGATTGCCCCAAAAAAAGAAGGCTGTCATTCAATAAATTTTAAAGTTTTAAACTTTTAAAGTGCTGTGCTTAAAGTGCTGTGTGGCATTTTCCTTCCCTCCTCCACCACCCCTCCTGGGATACCTTGGTAGTCATCCCCCTATTTGTGTGATGAATGAATAACGAATGCATGAATGTGAAGCAGCAATGACTTTATTGGCTCTGCAAGCAATGATTAAAGGGAGGAGGGGAGGGTGGTTAGCTTACAGGGAAGTAGAGTGAACCAAGGGGCGGGGGGTTTCATCAAGGAGAAACAAACAGAACTTTCACACCGTAGCCTGGCCAGTCATGAAACTGGTTTTCAAAGCTTCTCTGATGCGTACCGCGCCCTCCTGTGCTCTTCTAACCGCCCTGGTGTCTGGCTGCGCATAACCAGCAGCTAGGCGATTTGCCTCAACCTCCCACCCCGCCATAAACGTCTCCCCCTTACTCTCACAGATATTGTGGAGCACACAGCAAGCAGTAATAACAGTGGGAATATTGGTTTCGCTGAGGTCTAAGCGAGTCAGTAAACTGCGCCAGCGCGCCTTTAAACGTCCAAATGCCCATTCTACCACCATTCTGCACTTGCTCAGCCTGTAGTTGAACAGCTCCTGACCACTGTCCAGGCTGCCTGTGTATGGCTTCATGAGCCATGGCATTAAGGGGTAGGCTGGGTCCCCAAGGATACATATAGGCATTTCAACATCCCCAACAGTTATTTTCTGGTCTGGGAATAAAGTCCCTTCCTGCAGCTTTTGAAACAGACCAGAGTTCCTGAAGATGCGAGCATCATGCACCTTTCCCAGCCATCCCACGTTGATGTTGGTGAAACGTCCCTTGTGATCCACCAGAGCTTGCAGCACTATCGAAAAGTACCCCTTGCGGTTTATGTACTCGGCGGCTTGGTGCTCCGGTGCCAAGATAGGGATATGGGTTCCATCTATAGCCCCACCACAGTTAGGGAATCCCATTGCAGCAAAGCCATCCACTATGACCTGCACATTTCCCAGGGTCACTACCCTTGATATCAGCAGATCTTTGATTGCGTGGGCTACTTGCATCACAGCAGCCCCCACAGTAGATTTGCCCACTCCAAATTGATTCCCAACTGACCGGTAGCTGTCTGGCGTTGCAAGCTTCCACAGGGCTATCGCCACTCGCTTCTCAACTGTGAGGGCTGCTCTCATCTTGGTATTCATGCGCTTCAGGGCAGGGGAAAGCAAGTCACAAAGTTCCATGAAAGTGCCCTTACGCATGCGAAAGTTTCGCAGCCACTGGGAATCGTCCCAGACCTGCAACACTATGCGGTCCCACCAGTCTGTGCTTGTTTCCCAAGCCCAGAATCGGCGTTCCACAGCATGAACCTGCCCCATTAGCACCATGATGCATGCATTGTCAGGGCCCATGCTTTCAGAGAAATCTGTGTCCATGTCCTGATCACTCACGGGACCACGCTGACGTCGCCTCCTCGCCCGGTATCGCGTTGCCATGTTCTGGTGCTGCATATACTGCTGGATAATGCGTGTGGTGGTTAATGTGCTCCTAATTGCCAAAGTGAGCTGCGCGTCCTCCATGCTTGCCTTAGTATGGCGTCCGCACAGAAAAAAGGCGCGGAACGAATCAACAAAGGGGGTGCCTGTACATCAAGGAGTATTTCAGGCAGGACTGCACGGAGGGTTCCAATAAGAAATGGTGCACCTAAGTTATCGTTGTTATTGGAACAAGGAGGTTAGCCTGGCCTCTGATTGATACATGGCTAGATTTACCTCGCTGCACCTTCTCTGTGAGTGACTGCAGTGTGACCTAGAGGAATGAGTCCCCTAGACAGGGGAGGAGGCAAATGAGTACAAAACAAATCTGGTCTATTTCTTGTTTTGACCCACTCCATCTATCTTTTACATCTTTGGCTGGCAGCAGACG